CTTCCAGCACCTGAAGCGCAGTGACCAGAGCTCTTACCAGGCCGAAGCCCTGCGGTGTCAGGAGCAGAACCGGCCCCGGAGCACAGTGACCCGAGCTCATACCAGGCCGAAGCCCTGCGGTGTCATGAGCAGAACCGGCCCCGGAGCACAGTGACCCGAGCTCATACCAGGCCGAAGCCCTGCGGTGTCAGGAGCAGAACCGGCCCCGGAGCACAGTGACCCGAGCTCATACCAGGCCGAAGCCCTGCGGTGTCATGAGCAGAACCGGCCCCGGAGCACAGTGACCCGAGCTCATACCAGGCCGAAGCCCTGCGGTGTCATGAGCAGAACCGGCCCCGGAGCACAGTGACCCGAGCTCATACCAGGCCGAAGCCCTGCGGTGTCAGGAGCAGAACCGGCCCGGAGCGCACTCTCACAGCTGATGCTCAAACTACAGCCAGACCAGCACAGCACTCTCTGGCCAAACCAAATTATACAATTACAAAAACTAAATTACATTAACTATTGGAAAGATGCTACTAAATTACAAAGAAGATGGAACTCTATTTAAACCTGAAAAGAGAGTATAAACAGCAGAATACCTGAGCTGTGTGAAAGAGCATAAAGTGAGAAAGACCCTAACCAGATACAGGCTGAGTGACCACATCTGGCTGTAGAGAGAGGTGTGTGTGTGTGTGTGTGTGTGTGTGTGTGTGTGTGTGTGTGTGTGTGTGTGTGTGTGTGTGTGACCACAGTCTGGCTGTAGAGAGAGGCCGGCACCGGCAGAGATGGCAGCCGAGAGAGCAGAGACTGTGTTTCTCTGTGTGTGTGTGTGTGTGTGTGTGTGTGAGCAGAGACTGTGTTCTCTGTGCTCTCAGGGAGAGGTGGAGACAGAAGAACACTTCCTCATACACTGCGATCACTATCACAGCATTAGATCGGACTATTTCACTAGATTTCAACAGCTAGAACCAAATTTTATGGCATTGACAAATTCTGAAAAATTAATTCATATTTTGGGAGAAAACTCTTGCTCAATCACAACAGCAGCAAAGTATGTAATAGCCTGCCACAAACTACGAGAGTCAGCCAGTGGACAAAACTAAAGTCTGAATGTTGGTTCAAAACTGTGTGTTGTTGTTGTTTTTTTTTTTTTTTGTGTGTGTGTTTATTTTCATTTTGATATATTTCATTTTGATTCATTATGATATAAATGTAATATATTCATGCATTTGTTTACATTATTAATTTATCGATTATTTGTTCATTGCCTATGTAATGGCCAATGCTTTGGCAATACTGTATAAGTCATGCCAATAAAGCTCATTTGAATTTGAATTTGAGAGATACTGAGAGAGAGAGAGAGAGAGATACTGAGAGAGAGAGAGAGAGATACTGATAGAGAGAGAGAGAGAGAGAGAGAGAGAGAGAGAGAGAGCAAGAGAGAGAGAGAGAAAGAGAGAGAGAGAGAGAGAGCGAGCAAGAGAGAGAGAGAGAGAGAGAGGAGAGAGAGAGAGCGAGCAAGAGAGAGAGAGAGAGAGAGAGAGAGAGAGAGAGCAAGAGAGAGAGAGAGAGAGAGAGAGAGAGAGAGAGAGCAAGAGAGAGAGAGAGAGAGAGAGAGAGCAAGAGAGAGAGAGAGCAAGAGAGAGAGAGAGAGAGAGAGAGAGAGAGAGAGAGAGAGAGAGAGAGAGGAGAGAGAGAGAGAGAGCGAGCAAGAGAGAGAGAGAGAGAGAGAGAGAGAGAGAGAGAGCAAGAGAGAGAGAGAGAGAGAGAAGAGGAGAGAGAGAGAGAGAGAGAGAGAGAGAGAAGAGAGAGAGAGAGAGAGAGAGAGATGTACCCAGTGATGATGACTCAGGTGTGCTGGTCTTCCTCTCACTGTCACTGATGTCCTGCAGATCAGACAGGAGATCTTTATCCTCCATCTTTCCCTCTCGCACTGCAAATATAAGAAAAATATAATTTATATATATGTTTACAGCATTGATTACCTGTTTTAATGCTGGATTCCCGATCAGAATCACTGAAACATGCATGTTCTGTAAAGCAGTGTTTGGTGAAACACAACCCCGTATGAAAGCACAGACGAGCTGATGACCACAGAAGCTGCTTTCCATCACAGAATAAACATAAAAAAGGTAATTGTGACCTTTTATCTCACAATTCTGAAGTAAAGTCAGATTAAAGTGAAATAAAGTGAAAAAAGTCAGAATTATATAAACTATTTTAATTATTCTAATTATTATATAAACTTGAATTGTGAGAAATAAAGTCAGAATTGTGTTGAAATCGCAATTACCTTTTAAATCTTTTATTCCTGAGTGGAAACTCTTCCATAGATAACGGTCCTCTAGTTTTCAGATCGAACATCTCAGTGTTTAATGTGAAGTAGGGGTGTACGGTACACAAAAATCACGGTTCGGTACGTACCTCGGTTTTAAAGTCACGGTTCGGTACGTTTTCGATACAGCAAAAAGAAAGAAATGCCAGAGAAATTTCTTATTTGTTAAAAGAAAAAAATATT